TTGCTTGTTCTTATGACTAAAAAGCAAGCAGCCCCTTCTGGAAGAATCTGTACAGAGCCAGAATTATGAGATTCTGCATTACAAGGTTATGGTGTTCTCATTTCAATACTTAGGTATTTGTCCTACTTTTGTTTCTATTGCTGTAATGAATACCACCACGAAGGCACCTTGGGGAGGAAAAGGTTTATTTCATCTTACACTTCAAGGTAATAGTCCATTCCTGACATGTGTCAGGGAAGGAACTCAAGACAGGAACCTGTAGACAGGACCTGAAGCAGAAGCCACAGGGTTGCTGCTTACTTGCTCAACCCGCTTTCTTAGACAAACCAGGACTACCTGTTTAGAAGTGGCACCATCCAGAGTGAGCTGAACCATCCCCCCCCATCCACATCAAGAAAATGGCCCACAGACTTGTCTATAGAAATTCAGATAAAGGCATTTTCTCAACTAATATTCCCTCTTCTCAGATATGTCTGTGTGTATGATAATTTGACAAATGGCCCCAAAGGCTTAGATCTCTGAAGCTTGGCCTGCAGGTGGTAGAAGTGTTTGGGAAGGATTAGGATGTGGACCATGTTGGTGAAGATATTTTGCTGTGGGCTGGCTTGGAGGTTTCAAAAGCCCGTGTTATATCCGGTAGCTTTCTACCTCGTGCTTGTGGATCAGATGTGAGCTCTGAGCTTGTGTTCCAGTGCCATGTCTGCTTGCCTGCTGTCTTTCTCCATGTTATGATGGCAATGCACTCATCCATCTGGAACTGCAAGCCCTCAAATGTTTTCTTCTATAAGTTGCCTTGGTCATGGTGCTTTGTCACAGTAGTAGAAAAGTATCTAAGACTATATCAAGTTGACAAAAGCCAACCGGCAGTGTTTAAATTCTTTTCTCTCTCTGGCCAAGTGAGGATACTTTCAACAAATATTTGTGATCAGATGTATTAAAGTATGCACACACGTTTACAGAAAAATTTATTGGAGGTAGGATGACATGGAACAGTATAAGCAGAAGGAAGAAAGCCTTACAAATGAGTAGTTTCATTTCTTTCCTCCTCCCTCCCTTCTTTTTCTTTTTGAGACAGGGTTTCTCTGTTTAACAGTCAAAGGAATAATTTTCAATTTTATTGTCTGTCTGGAAAGATTAATTAATTAATTTACAGATAGGCTCTCACTCTTTAGCCCAGGCTGGCCTAACTTCTAGATTACAGGAGTGAGTCACTGTGGTGGTCTGAATGAGAACACTTCTTATTGGCTCATGTATTTGAATATTTGGTCACCATTTGGTGCTGACCTTTGGGTCTGTTTCAGAGGCATGGCTTGCTGAAGGAAGACTGTCACTGGGCTGGGCTTTCAGGGTTTAAAGATTCATGCCATTTACCGGCCATTCTCTCTGCCCCATGCCTGTGGATTAAAATCTGAGCTCTCTGCTTGCTGCTCCAGCTGCCATACTTGACACTTCCCTGTGATGGTGATGGCATCTTGTCCCTCTGGAACCATAAGCCCAGACAACCCTTCCTTCTATATGCAGCCTCAGCATGGTGTTTTATTGTAGTAATAGACAAGTAACTAATACAATCACCATATCTGGCTCCAGCAGAATTTTGAAAAATAAACACAATTTGAGAACCACGACAGATTTATTAGCTAATGATATTTGTCAAAGGAAAAGACCCAGATCAAATATAAGTGAATGAATTACACAGAAACGAATTACTGTAAAGTGATACCTTTTCCATGAAAAAAAAAAATCTAGATTTAAAAAATGACTATCTGAACAGAGTGGTGATGGTACATACCCTTAATTCCAGGACTCAGGAGGCAGAGGCAGGTGGATCTCTGTGAGTTCAAGGCCAGCCTGGTCTACAGAGTGAATTCCAGAACAGCCAGGGCTACAAAGAGAAACCCTGTCTTGAAAAACAAGACAAAACAAAGTAACTATAGGTAGGTATGATGATGCTAAGGAGGAAATTTGGGTCTTTCTCTCTCTCTCTGCTCTTCCCTCCCCACACATATGACATCAAAAGAAAATGGTAAATCTAGACAAGGAAATATTATAAGAATACAAAACAAACACACATAACCTATGAAAATTGTTATTACTAGGTTTCCATAGGCTTATTAGGAGAAAACAAAACAAACAAACAAACAAAAAAAAAAAAACAAAACTAAGAATGTTCTCAACACACACACACACACACACACACACACACACACACACACTAAATTAGACTTACAAAGTAGCAACCTGTTTTTTTCTTGTGTACATGAGTAATGTGCACTTGCATTCACATATGTGTGGGTGTTTGCCACCATATTCATTGAGGCAGGGTTTCTCAGTCCAACACAAAGCTTATGGATGTGATCTGTCTGGTTAGCCAGCTTGCCCTGGAGACCCTGTCTCTGCTTTCTAATGCTAGGATCACAAAGGAACTCTACACTTGCCTGGCACTTATGTGGACTCTGGGCATACAAATCCTGGTTTTCTATTATTTTTAATTATGCCCATATGTACATGTCTCTGTATGACTATGTACTTGTGAGTGAGATGTCCAGAGATGGCAGATTTCCCTCTAGCTGGAATTATAGATGATAAGCCACACAATGTGGGTGTTAGGAGTCAAACTTAGGTCTTTTGAAAGAGCAGTCTGTGTCCCTAACCATTGAGCCATCTTTCCAGCCCAAGTCCAGTTATTGTAGGCCATATGGACATAGGTGTGGGACCATTCACTGGAGCATGGCCACATCCACAAAAACAAATTCAGTAGCCAACAACATTCAATAGCTCCTTACTTACAAGTTTGGAGTCTCTGAATTCCTCTGCTACTCATGCTGAAATTCTGACTGACTTGATCTTGTACGAGCAAACACAACTCTTAGCAGCTTATTTTTAATGTTTGAACTAACGATGTTTCCAGATATATGTTCCAAATAAAGGAACATAGAATAGCTTTTGCCAAGACAATTTTGTCTAAAATTATGGAAAGACAAAGAAACATGAAAAACACATTAATGTCATTAAGAGAAATTTATGTTAAAAATATATCAATTCACCTATTACAGTAGTAGAAATAGCTGGGTGGTGGTGGCACTTGCCTTTAATCCCAGCATTTGGGAGGCAGAGGCAGGCGGATCTCTGTGAATTCAAGTCCAGCCTAGTTTACAAATCAAGTTCCAGGATATCTAGAGCTGTTAACCAAGAGAAACCCTGTTTCAAAGAACAAACAAACAAACAAACAAAAAAATAGTACAAATAAAATAATATCAGATTCAGGAAAGTAAACACAGTAATGAATATTTATTATTAAAAAAGGAAACACTTTATTTCTTGACATCACCAAGGAAAACTATGGAAGAGTTATTGTGGAAAGAATAAATATGTACAGATCCAGCCATCTCATTCTCCAAAACTGCATAAACATTTGCAAAATTTTCCTTCAACTATTAATATATCCCCAGAGCAGCCAGCCCACACAGACCTGGGGCATTCACATGTCAAAATATTCCATAAAGATCTGGGAAAAGATATTTTTGGCAGGAATAGTTAATGTGCACAGAAAGACTGCCTATGACATAATTCAGGGTTCAGACCAAGTTAGGAACTCCTTGTAATGACAAAATGCTAGGGTCAGCCTACAACATTCTTTACAACATTCAAGTCATTTCATATCACAAACTCTTACAAGAGGAGCAGCTGCCATTCTTGTTGCCAAATAGATAGCAAAATATGAAGGAGAGGTAACACTACCTTAATGCCTGTTTTTACAGAAAAATAAAGCCAGGTATGGTGGTGAATTCCTGTAATCCCAGCCCTGGAAAGGCTGCCGGCTTAAGGCACCTGGTGAATTCTAGGTCAATGAGAGATTTAATGTCTTTAAAAAAAAAAACCAAAACAAACAAACAAAAAACAAGAATGGCTCCTAAGGGAAAACTCCCAAGGTTGTCCCCTATGGACCTCAAGTGTGTGTGGATGGACAGACAGATACACACAGTTTGTCTTAGCACACTTTTCCCTGTGTGCTGAGCCTCCGGGGTTGATGCCATAGTGACAGCCCCATGAACTCTAAGGTTGATCGAGCCTTTGATGTTTCAGTGTGTATGCGCAACCCAGAAAGTCCTTCTAGAAGCCATTACACAAAATCCTAACATGGAATCTGTGGGCTTATTCGTGGGTTTCCGAATCTGCAGTCTTTGTAGGTGGGTAGTCGAACCCAATAGCATTTTGTGCCCTTTCCCCCAGATACCTGTTCATCTATCACTTCCTGCCAGAGGTCTTCTCTGACCATCTTCCCCAGCCAGAGACCTCACCCTCAAAATTTTCTCATCATTGCTTACTGCTGAGTTTCACGACTATCTGTCATCATCTTGTTTATCTGCTCATCATGTCCATCTTACTCAAAAGGTAAGTTTCTCCCGAGAATAGGATCTGGCCTTCCGGTGCCTTGAACTTCGAAGCTGCTGGGCTTCCAGACACTTTGGGATTGAAGGACAGGTCCACAACTTGGTACGTAGGTGTGTGTGCACGGGTCTCACTATGGTGATTCAAACTCCTGCGCTCTGCCACAGGCTCCAGGGACAACAGGTGTAGGGCATCACACCTAGTTTTAGGCTAGCAGCGGAACCCAGGGCTACAGGTACGCTAAGCAAGCATTAACCGCGCTACAGCCTCAGCTGGAGATCTCTTTAAAAGCAGGTGTCTGCATCTCGTTCAGCCACACCTACCCACGGTACCCTTTCCCACAGTCGGTGCGCCAGGTGTCTCACTTACCCACGCCCTAGACCGCTTAGAGGCCACCGGGCTCAGTACGGCCGCAGAAGGCTTCGGCACCGGGCCGAGCTTGAGCGAGAGCGCGTCGCCTTCCCCGCCACCCGCTCCATCCATCATCTGACGCGACCCCGGCGCTCCGCCGTCCGGGCGGCAGCAGCAGCCCGTGTGCCGCGCGCGCCCGTCGACCCGCCGGCCGCCACAAGTACTTCCGGGTAAGCGGGTCGCCGGCCGGTGGCCCCGCCCCTCTGCCCCGCCACCGCCGCAGTTGCAGCCGCCGCTCGGGCTGCGGCTCATCCCGGTTCGCGTTCGCCTTCCCGGCCGCGCCTCGAAGGGCAGGCACCCTGAGTGTGACTGCGCGGCCGGCCGCGGTGCGAGGAGCTCTGCTTCTGCCTCCCCGAGGCCCGCGCGGTGGACGGGGTAGGGACAGAGAGTGGCCGCCGCGCCCCTCGCCCCGCTCCCCCGCGGCCGCTCCGGCCCTTCCGGGCGGCGCCGCAGCCTCAGCCGGCTCCACACGCAGGTAAGCAGGCGACGGGCCCGGCTGTCCTGGCGCGCTGTCCCGGAGCGGCTCCGGGCTAGGGTCTCCTGGCGGGTCGCCGGCCCCCCGCGAGGGAGGAAGGGGTTACGCCCCTTGGACCGGGCATCACTTGGGACAGCCGGGTGCCCCAGCTCCCGTTGCTCCCAGCGCCACACTCCCTCAGACTCTGCCCTCACTCTGTCCCGGGAGGAGCCGCCCCGGGAACGGTGTCAGGCCGGTGGAGGGCGTAGCTTTTTAAAATGAGATTTCCCCCCCTCTGTGGCTTCCTTCTTGATCTGAATTGAAGCGCGGGCTTAACAGGCTCAGGGCAAGAACGGTCAGGGTTAATGCTTGACTAATACGGGGCGTTATTTACACCCACACGGTGGAGCGGAGTTCCAGAGCTCCAGTCAGGCCTGGTTTCCCATTGCTGAGGATATCCAGCAGGAAGCAGGGGACGAAAGAAAACCCAGAGGAGAAAAGTTCAAGTATTTGCTTTATGTTTTTTTTTTTTTCTTTCACCTCGAGACATACAAACAAAATGCTGCAACATGGCTGATGGTTATCCTAAACTTTCGTTATTTGTAGCTCTTTATAAATGTTTCCATTTAGTGACTCAGCATTTTTGCCACAGTTTTTGTACAGTAGGTTGATTGACTCAAAACTGTGTAAGGATTTGTGTTGTGTTATCACAACGGGAAGAGATGCAGTAAAGGAACGAGGAGATGGAGTGCAGGGTACAGATGGATACATTCGTAATCAGTGTTTGACAAGTCCGTCGTCCCCCCACCCCCAGTATATGCAAGAGAAGGGTGTGAAAAGCTGCAATTACTGGGGAATGCATGGTGTTGCAGGGGGAGTTAGTTGCCTGAGTTTACCATTGAATGACTTGCAGAGTTACCCCTGTTAAACTACTCATGCTCTGTTTAACAACTACAGAGAGAGGATGACCTCGCGTTTAATACACTCATACGGAATAAGAATTTCGGAAAGTGTGATTCATGTAGGAAGTTAGGTCACACTCACTGTGTGAATCATTGATATGGATCTTCACACTGAAATAGTGGAAAGCCAAGTTTGTTTCTCCCGTTTAATTAGATAATTTTACTCTTTTTATAGCAAGTGATGTATAATGTTTGGTTCTGTTTGTTGCTGGGTGGTTATTGTCATGCACTACGGTATGGAAATAAAAATTTAAAACTTGCAGAATGTTTTGATTTATAACCCTTTGTTAGTTACTAAATGGACTGCTGTGATTTTAATGTCCCCCTCCTTTTTTTTTTTTTTTTTAAACCAGATGTGGGAAGACAAATGAAGGGGTTTAGATGCCAAATAAATGTCAGTGGAAAGGAGAGCTACCAACACTAAGGTACGAAAAAGTATTGTGGGAGAGCATGCACTATATAAAGTAGCTTTTGAGTGGGAAGCTGTAGCACTTGGCATTCTATCCTGAAAAATGTTGAATGAGACTATACTAACTACTTTTCTGTTCTGGAAGGAATTGGGTATTGAAGTTTTGGTTTATTTTTAGAATTGACTAATCTCAAACTCGAAATAACATTTTATTGCTGCAGTGTAATTTGATCTTTTTTAGTCTTTCAAAATGAGAGGCAAAATAGCTTTTGAATACCATAGTTCTTGATAGTGATGACCTTGTTTGCCCAGTTTTTGTTTTTAGAGTCCTGCCTATTTTATCTTGATTGACAGAAGCCCTATTGATTAATTGAAAAGTGATAATCAAGTTTACTTTATTGGTGTAGGTTAAGACAGACATTCCTTTCATTTTTTGGCTACATTTTGGCATCTTTTTCACTTTGGGTATCCATTCTTATATTCAGAGTGTTCCCTAATGTTGCTTTTTATTTTTGTCTAGCTGATAGGATGATGACTTAAGAGTTTCTGTTTCTTATAGAGATTCCCTTTGGAAAGTCCCTTGTGAACACCTTCATTGGGCACAGTCTTGATGCATAAATACATAAGGAAAATAAATCTTTTTAGGTTAGGATTAAAGCATCTCCATATGAAGGGAAGAGAGAAAGTATATTTGGCTAGGTATCTGTCTCTCTTTTGCAATACAAAAACAATTCTTTTCATTAATTTAGGAAGAAGAGAGTGATTTCTTGCAAAGGTCTTTGTGAATTGCTTAGCATGTTCCTAGAGTGAAAAGGAGCAGAATTGATGAGGTGGGGTGATGTTTCTTCCAAATGGAGGGAGCATTGGTGAGGACTGTTTAAAAGGAAATAAAATTCTTCTGTCCTCATCCAAGGAGTGTTATCCACTGTCTCTACAAAACAGTGTGCTTTGCAGGAGAGTGAATGGGGGACGCCTGATCCCTTACCTGGGAAAACATACTACCTTATCCAGTTTGCAGATAAAGAATACTCTACTCTGACCATCATTCAAAGCTCAGCTTTTAAAACTTAAAAAGGAAAGGAATCAAGCTGAGTTTACCTTGTGAGTAAAATATCTTAATCCTTTTCTCCATTTCCTCCCTGAAAGCTAATAGATAGGAGAACTATCTTGGGAAATGAGTGACTGACATTGCACTTTGCACTTTAACCTTTCAAACTTTTGATCAACAGTAAATTAGACTTAAAAACAGTTATATTTTAGACTAAATTTGTAAGTTATAAAACTGGGCTTATGTGCTGTATGTTCTCATTTGTTCAGTTATGTACTTATTCTGGGAGCCAAGAGAGAATGCTGTTTCTTGACAGTCACTTGGACATACACTCACAACCTGTGTGTGCTCTTCTTTTAGTCTAGGGGTAGGGAAAGAAATAGGTAAAAGCAGAGACAGCAGAAAGAGGGAAAATGACATACATGGAAAGAAATGTTGATGATATGGGTTCAGTGGCATTTGTGAAGCTTTTAAAGATAAAGTATGTAAAAAGAAACTGTCATATGAAGAAAGAAGTTTCCTTTCTGTCACAAACTTTTTACCTACCTGTGCATCATCTGTTACCCTGATCCAAGCTACCATGGGTAATATATCCCCTTTTTTTTTTTTTTTGTATCCATCTTCCAATTCTCAGCTATATACACAGTTTCATGTGTTTAGAAGTGTTCTTTACCTGTGATGTAGCTGAGATTTTTTTTTATGTATTAGCACCTATTCCAATCTCAATATTCCTTAAAAAGACTGAATTTATTACTTTTCTGTGGTTTTACTAAGTTCCTATTAGTAAACAGGTCATTTTTAGTCTTCTGTAAACAGCGCTGTAAGAAAAAAACCTTTGAACAACTATTTGGCAGTTTATAAGTGTATCTGTGGAATATATGATTGTGAGGTTGGTTCCTAGGTTGTAAACATGAGAAATTTGTTTTATACTAGATTTTATTTTATAATAGAAAATAATATTTTCTCAGCCACAGGAGAAAGAAGAATTTTAAAAATTACTTTATTGTGAGCTGGGCTTCATATCATGCATCTGTTGTTAGCATTTGGGAGGCTAAGCCAGGTGATTGGGAGTTGGAGGCTACTATGGTCTATACAGCACACAGTAAGATCCTGTCTCAAATAAAATTGCAAGTGTGCTTTGAAAGTCAACTTAAGACATCGTGGAATGTCAGATGATTAATTTGAACTGGTAAATGTCAAAAATACCATAGTTGAAGTCTGGTGCTGACAAATGTAAGACACTTATATTTGGTAAAATGGCTGTACCATGTAGGTTTGTTTCAGAGTGTATATTTTCTGTTAATGAAAAACTTTTATATAGCTGGGTGTGGTGGCACACACCTTTAATCCCAGCACTTGGGAGGCACATGCAGATCACTGTGAAGTCTGTCTAGCCAGTTTTAGGCCTGCTAGGGCTACATACAAAAAAACAAAAAACAAGCAAAAAAGCTCCCCAAGCCCCCCACCAAAAATCAATTTTATATAGTTTATGTGTTTGCTTTGGTAAAGTTAACTGATATTAGTCATAAGAGAAAGAAATGACCCACTGTTTCTTCTTTATCCTAGTCTGTCTATTTAAAGTAGAATAAATGATGGAACCAGAAAGCCAGAGCTTCCTTTGTAATCCAGAGTACTGTTGGTATATTCCTTTGTCAAAGCAGTAAGAAGGTATAGATTTAGACTTTATTCTGGAATGAGCTGGTAAGCAGAGTAAGGGAGGTTCAAAATTTAAATTTGAAGTTCTATAGGTGACTCATGCCCAGGGTGAGGTTCAGGAGCCTTTGTCCTTTTGAAATGAGAGACCAGAGAAATAAGTACAGAGAGGCTCAAGTGTGGTGGGGCTGGAACTCATGAGTGGCAGTTTCCCTGGATGGTGTCCAGGCTCTATTTTGAGGCCCTGTCAAAACTTGCCTGACAGATCTACCACATAACCATAATCTGGCCTAGCCCTGCTGCCAGTCAGGAAGGCCTGTGGTGTAGGGAAAGTGGCAACTGCAGAAGAGGGAGTTATGAAGATCATGTGCTTTCAGAAGATTGAGGAGAAGCTTTGGGGTGAAAATCTGCTGAGTGTGCATATTACATATCCTAGCATCCAGGTGTTTTCTGTTTTAGTAGCCAGGTTTTTGTTTTCTGTTATTTAGTTTCTTATTTTTGGAAAGAGTTTGACTGCAGAGAACTAAAGAGGAATTTTTTAGAATAATTTCATGAGGAGGATTGTTCCAGCTTAATCTCATTCTGGGAGGACTTACCAAAAATCAGTCAAAATGATCCACAGTGTATGTGTGTGCATTGTTATGGGTGTAAGAAGGCCGTATAGTTGAAATGGTCCAATTCAGAGTCTTTCACACTTGTCACTGGGAACTTGAAATAATGACTATTTTACAGGAGTGTTCGGAATTCACACAGCTAAATTAGTTTCTTACTCTATTTTCCCAATGAAAGTATTATATAATTGTATCTCTTTTTTTTGCCATTTTATTTGTTTTGTATGTGTGTGGGTATGGGTATGTAAGTTAGAGGACACTTTGAAAGAGTTGGGTGTCCCACTATATGGCTCCTTGGGATCAAATTCTGGTTGTGATGTTTGGAACAAGTAATTACCCTTATCCAGTGAGCCTTCAGCTGGCCCTGAAGTTGTACGTTTAAACTCTTGCTTTTTAGCAGACTGCATAGTTCTCTATCTCCTTGTGCTGTGTAGTGCTGCATGAAAACCTTGGTGTTTTCTATGTTTAGTGAACACTTAGGTTTAAAGTTCTTTAGGTGATTTCACTGCTTTGACCAGAAAGCTGTTGAACAACTTACTGTTACACTCTGTGACCAAGGTTCATGTCTCTATTTCACTTCTGAGCTGTGCTGCAGTCAAGGGTTTCTGAAGGGTTTAGCTCGCAGATATAATTTATAGATGTGAGCCTGCAAATGGTTTCCTGGTCATTTGCATTAGATTAGGTTGTTACTTCAGGAATTTAGTTGTGGGGTCATTAGCATTTCATAACGATGTCCTTGGGGTTCAATATATGAGGAGAGCAAAATGAACAATAGTTTCTTTTTCTTCTGTTATCTAATTTATTCCTACCATCTCTTCCTTTTCTCAGGCTTTCTTCCCTAGAACAATAAGACAAGACGAAAAATAAAACCCAGGGTGAGCTGAGAATGGTAAAAGATTGGGAGAACCCAGAAAGGGCATAGCAAGGTGTTTTTGTTTTCCGAGAACTGACCTGCTGCCTCCCCGCGTCCCACAACTCACTCTCCCCATGTGTTCACCTTGAACCTGGTGTATATCTTAGGGTTTCTTCATATGAGCATCACATTTTAAACTAGTGTTGATGTAATGGATACATTTAGTGCTTTTGAAACACTAAATTTTTAAGCTATTTGCAAATAGTTTGTTATTCTTTCTGTAGTCCCACTTTCAAATAGAAACACTTTTTAACAGCTAGGGATTAAAGTATACTGTCTATAGACAATAAGATGCTAAGGTACTTATTTTCCTGGTAAATGATTTAAATGCTCTGAGTTTAATAACATTGAATAAATTTAGCAAACACATCCTGTTACTATTTTTTTAAAAATAGAATTAAGTACTCCAGTTAAGTGATTTAGTGCTTTTGGGTTAAAGATAGACAAATATTCCAATTTTAAATGAATTTTCCCCCATGTTATAGATAATGCTTTATTTATCTGGATAATCAAGGGAATGAGATCATTGTCTCCTTGTCTTGCCGAATTCATCCCTTGCAATCCACCCTGTTTTATTTTCTTGCTTGTGGTAAACTTAAGTAACATTACCATACTGAGTTTTTCCATTCTTTTCATTGTGGAAAATGTATACAGTGTAAAATTTAAGTCTCTTCCGCTCCTCTTTAGAGTGCTGGGGACTGGGTCCAGGGCCTTGCACATGCTATACAAGCCTTGTGCCACTGATCTCCACCCTAACCCCCTAAACAACGTGTAATTGTACAATTTCGTGG